TATCACGATTATTAAAAAAGATATTTCGTGTGCGTTAATACGTATATATATATACACATGCATGCACTTTCTCTCCCTCTCTCTCTCTCTCTCTTTCTCTTTCTCTCTTTCTCTTATATGTAAATGTTAAATTTCACTGTGACTGGATTAGCATTTATTTTTGTTTGATCGTTACACGAATGGTATAAATGCTAAATAATACAAATGCATTTTACGCGGTTATTAATATGCAAATATTATTCGAATTTATTGATTTGTTCGAGCGCCAAGGATGATACCATTTTGAAAGGACGCGAGAGTAAAACGAATGTAGGAAGATTGTAGAAAAAATGATCTTTTTCTAGCCAGTAACTAGACAGTAAAACTAACTAGTCTCTAATCAGTTTTAAACCAGTCAGTTTCTAACCAAATTTTATTTTGCATGAAATTCTGGCAAATAGTTTTCATCATTCGATTCTACATTATAAAATATTACATTTCGTTATTCGATATAGGAATAGAGTGAAACTCGTGTTTCAGAAAGTCGAGTCTTTATACGTTAAAATTCATTCATTATTGAAGTGGCTGCAGTTTTTTAGTTTTAATTGCCATTTTTCAATGCCTAGTTTGCGATAAGTAACTAGAAAATAAATATTGACTAGCATTTTCCGCGTTTTTATTAGGCAGAGGAACTGCTTAGTATTTATATTGTTATCATTTTAATTACCCAGTTTCTGGCCAATATTTTCCTTCAGTTTCTGGATAGTTATTGCTTAATGTGTGTGAAGTTAGCACCGCCATTTTGAAAATCAGAGAAAAATGAAATTGTGCTAAGTTGTGCTAGGTTTGTGCTATGTTGTGTCGCAAATCGAGTAAAATAGAGAACTATTCACAGATGTATGGAAATTGGCAATCTTGATAAAATAATGGACAAAAAGTCGTGGGGATAAAACAAAAATTTAATGTTTTTTACATTTTTCCAGTTGTGCTGGGTTATACTAAGCGAGTACAACAACTTTTCCTAATGGCAAATTGACGTCAGATAATAAAAATCTGTCTCCATAGGGACAGTTATGTGAAATTTTTTTGTTTTACCCCCATAACTTTTTGTCCATTATTTTGTCAAAATTGCAAATTTCCATACATCTGTGAATAGTTCTCTATTTTACTCGATTAATACAATCCAGCACAACTCGCAGAATTCAATTATCTGCCACGGTTCAAAAGTTACAAGTAATTAAATATCTTGGCTGAAAATTAGATATTTTAATTTTTTTTCTCTTGAACGGGAAGATGTAGACCTATCATCTTTACGGCACAACGTATAGTAGCCAAGGCTGTAACCAGTACAATTTTTGTTTTTTCAAGAAAACAAAATGGCGATGCTGGTAAAAAAATTGATTTTTTAAATTTTCCGTTTTATTCTTTGAGGTAGGCGATTTATTTTTGCGGCACAACATAGCACAATTTCGTTTTTCTCTGATTTTCAAAATGGCGGTGCTAACTTCACACATATTACTGCTTAACAGATTCTAGTCCATAAAAACTGGCCGGTCTCTGGCAAGTGACCAGTTTTTCCTGGAAATGTTTCTACTTGGGTAATTTTTGTCTGCATCCGGCGAACGCGCACGAATACAATGCCGTGCGCGCGAAATACGTGCGCCGATATATATATGTGCTCGTCCTTTCTCACGAAATACCGCATCGAGATGGACATTCGAGTGCGGCGAGATGAAGAGCAGGGCACGGTTGGTTTTCAATTCGAGCGTCGGATCAATCACGAGGTACAATAAGCGCGGGATAATGACGTCACGATTCTCGATCCACTCCGTCTTTATTGTTGAGAGCGTGAGGTCTTAAAGCACAATCGTTCTCCTTCTATCGTTCACTCGCTTCTTTTTTTCCTTTCGATCGCTTTTATGTTAATTCCGATTCGTTGTCCCATTCACAAGTGCGGTCGCGCACGTTTCATTCGCGATTTTTCAATGTGGCGAATTTATCGAAGCTTTAATCAAATTGTCATGTTTTTCACTCTGGCATTCTCGCCAGTTCACTGGAATATCGTCATTTTTAAACATATCGCATGCCAAGCGTAAATTGTCGATTTTTCCACGGAATTAATTTTATTTTGACGAACATCCAGAGAGAAGTGTTTCGAAAAAACCGATCTAATACAGTAATAAAAGAAAAAAACATTACTTAAGAGAGAGGAGGAGAGAAAGGGGGAGAGAGAGAGGGGCAGAGAGAGGGGAGAGAGAGAGAGAGAAGGAGGAGAATAGAGGAGAGAAGGAAAAATGATCTCGGAGATTTTCTGTCGATGCGCTTTGTTAAATCTACGATTAAACAGATTTAAGCAGATTGGTTCGGACCGCCATTAATTTTCGTTCCGTGAGCGTAATTTCGGTAAATCCATATTCGTCCACTTGCTACAGAATCCTGTGATATACAATATGAACAATACCGACCAAAACATCCGATGTATTTCCGTATTATCCATCCTATCCACCATATTATCCTAATTCCATTTAATCATTAACAATATTATGCGCATCTATCGTGTGCGCTGTTGTTATTCATTATGTTAGCTTTCACTAGTAATAAGGACTCTTTGATTATGCGCGTTATATTTTCGCGCACGATACTAGACAAAATAATCTCTGAAATAACGGCAAGCAGAAGTAAGTTGAAGCAATTAGCAATTTACGTAACGTCAAATTGATTCGCTTAGCTTTAGGAAGATCATTTGGTTTTTGCCAAAAACGTAGATTAACTCGTTCGCGTCACATGTTCGTGACGGGTTGATTTTTGAGCTCAAGGTTAATTTTTGCTAAAAATTCTCAATTTTATGTAACTTGTTCGCGTCACCAACGTTATATGTGTATGATAACATTTTTCTTTATACATCCACATGTAAAACAAATTTGTTTTACGAAATTGTATGAAAACAAATGTAATGTGGTCTCTGTGGAGAGAATTCCCCAAATAAGCCGTGGTAGAGAACGTGTTAACGATTGACGCGCGGTCAGTAGCGTACAAATGGCGTACCAATGGCTGGACATGTACCTAACTCTGGACATTGTAATTATTTTGTTATTTAACTGTTCACACATGGCACTCATGTTTTGGGCAACTTGATTTGGCACACTGGGGTTGTTTTTATCTCCGCTGATTTACATTCCGTAAAAGTGCTAATAGAAATCTATAAAAAATAATAAATACACTTTTAAGTCTGTGAGATAGTTATGCATAAAAATGACTGGAAATATTCACTTAAGTATGATGAAAACATGAGTTTGCATTAAAATGTATAAGGTTTCTGAAAATTAATTAATTTGGAAAATTAACACTCTAGGATTTTCTTGTCAATACTTAAATATTTAAGAAAAAATATACGTAAATATATTTTACTTTGTCAGAAAGTATAATTATTTGAGTATATATGAAATTACATTTTCAGTCAAGACGCGAATAAAATCATTAATAGCTTTCAAAGCTTCTGTGGTATACATATAAATCTGCTATAATACGGATTTTATTAAGATAATTATACAAAGATTAGATACATCTGAATCTGTTTTCTTCGCGATTAGAGTTTGCCGAGACAGAAACTTTAATCACATAATATAGTCTAAAATAAATAAGTTATTTTTAAATAAGTTATTTTCATAACAAACCTTTTCTTATACATCTTATTTAATGTAAATAAATGTAACGAAAAATCATTTTTATTTTACGCTTTGATATTTTAATTTGACACACTAAAGTGAAAAATAACTCTATAGTAATTTTACTTTTTTGTTATATCATCTTTTTGTTATATGAAGTAACTGAAATGGCTCAAGACCGTTTAAACCCAGCAACTATAATATTTTTTAGTAGATGGATTGAAAGTTCTCATTCCACTAGTTTACGGGTAAATTAAAAATTAAAATTAAAAATCAGGTGAAGTCGAAAATGACTCTAGTATGCTACATTAGAGTTAAATACAAAATTTTATTAACTTATTTAAACTTCTAATATAGAATATATATACATATATTGAATGCACAAGATGATTCAAGTAACCTGCCATTTAAAATATTTTTGAAGCAGAAAATGAAGATGATTGATTTTTCCAGAGATCATCAAAGTTACTCCACCTATAAAAAAGCGTTATCACCATAAGACGTTTTTTTCTAGAGTAATTTTGAAAATATAAAAATCGCTTTTGTCTTTTCCTTCGAAATGGCAATAGTTATTGACTCACCTTGTATACATTCTATACATTCTATGTTGAAAATTTAAATATTGTAAATCTAAGTAGATGTGCATATTCTCAACATATCCGATCAGAAATTGAATCTAGCGATTGTTTAGTAATGACACAGAAAAGTTGGGTCTTACATCGCTACTAACTAGAAATATAATGCTCACTTCTCCTAGTGGCTGTACCAGAAAAATTATCTAGTAGCTAGATACAAAAAAATAACTTGTAACTATAATTGGTATAAATACTAGACAGTTCTGATATCCAATTTCTATTTAGGATTCCGATGATTTTCTATCTCGTTACTGTGTAATCTTTTTCATCTAGTCACTATCTATGTAATAGGCATAGTTACTGATATTCCTGATATTCAAAATTCAAAAAGATAGTCCTGACATTCAAAAGACTGAGTAGGAATATTTAGCCAGTCACGAGCTAACGTTAGAAAAGTTATCTAGTCATTACTATCTAGCTACTAATCTTGAAATTTGCTTTAATAGATACATTTTTGCTCGGGTATGTATATCTATTTTTTTGTATTAAAATTTTATAATAAAAATATATATTTTATGTTTAAAGTTGAAATATTTAAAGACCAAATAAATGAAAATTACATCCAGTATACATATGTGTTCAGACATTGATACTACAATTTTAACGACCGTTTCTCGCGAATTGTTTTAATTTTCAACTCAAATGTGTGATCCTGATTCTTCTTTCACGTCGCTTTTCACGCGTGGACGTGTCTCGTCACAAAGAGAAATCACTCACTCACCATGCACTCGCCGGCGATGCAGACGTCCGTGCCATCCGCGTAGCACCTCGTGCCATCTTCCACTTTGTCTGCCAGTTGCACCACTATCGTCTCGTCGCCGTCGAATTGCAGGGTGTCGGTGGCGTCGCGCGGCATCGTCTTCTCGCCCGATGTTTCCTGCCGCAGCCGTCTAATGCCGTTCTCGGAGGTTTGCACGCCGCGGCAGATCAAAGAACACGGCCAACCCGGGTCGTAATGGGGATACCATTTGAACAGTTGTCCGTTGTACGGCGCATCGTTGAAGGCAGAACATTGTGTCGCGCGAAAATCGCTCGATTCCTCGCAGGGCTGAAATCACAGAGAGGGGAAGAATCCTCCCATCAGACAGGCTCATTAAACGACTCTACGACGTCGTTACGTCACTATTGGGTGCTCTAAGAGGAAGCGAGAAGACCGCAATTTCGCAGCAACTAGCGCTCTACGAGCCATGATATATCGAAACTCGGTTATTCTGCGTCTCGGTTTACTGCGTCTCGGTTTACTGCGTCTCTTTCTTCCTTAGATCTCACCGAGTCGAGTCGAGATTTTGATACTTTACACGGTAAAAAACATACTGTACTCGCGTTGAAATTAATTTGTGTAGAAATGTTTGTCTTAAGTTTTTAATATATCTGTATAAAGTTTTTAATATATCTGTATAATTTAACGTATTAATTTAATACATTGTCGTTTTGTTGTTTTTACTGTTCCGCGTTGAGTTTCACCATTCACTGATATTCACCATTCCTAGGTGTTAAAATAACACAATAGTGTCTAAGTGTTATATTTTCGTGTTAATTTTTTATATATATTTGTGTTACTTTTTTTACGTACTCATAAACAACAAATATTTGCAAATGAAAACGTCGTCAGCCTAGCGAGTCTGTAGCCGTAATCTAGCTGTAACATATATACAGCTAGTTTGCTATGTACGTAATTCGCAGAGCTGTATAAGATTTGTGGTTGTATATAATAAAATTTGATGTTACAGCACGGCAGATTTATTAGTAACAGCAAATATAAGTTTTGTACTACATTAATGGAAAATATAGTTATGTAAATGCAACTAATTTTTTACTATTAAAAGAAATTTAGTATATTAACGGATTTCGATACAGCTAAGTCATCACAGTTGCTCCAGCAATCGAAGTTAGCAAAAATGCTTATTGACATGTCTCGAATATTTACTCTCTGCGACCATTCAAATAGTATAATGAAATATTAAAGATGTAAATACACATACATAAAGCTACATGTAATTTATAGTAATATATTATATCATAGATACACGCAGTTATTAATATAGAAAAGCAAACATGAATTGCGTAACGCACAATAATATATTTCTTATTACAAATTATTTGTAGTCAGCCTTAATGGGAGTGCACTTCTCTGTAAAATGAGTAGTAAAATAAAATATGGTATAATTTTTTTTCTGACTTTAAGAATCAATTCTTTGCGTCGACTTATCGTTCGTTGCCTCAAAAATGTAAATGATTGCTTCATAATTTTTATGAAGCCAATAAAAATTAGTTATAACAATAATTCTTTTTTTTTCAGTGTACTTTTCCGTTATCTATTGAATAATTGCATGATTTGTTTAGCCAAATTGATGGATTTGTTTTTGCAAACTTCCATTAACTCGAAATATGAAATAAATGCAGATTACAGTTGTAGTAACTAAGATAATATCAACAGAAATAGGTTTGCTGTATAAGCGGAGACTGACAGTTGCTTCTAATATTTTTGTTGCACTAACAAATCCGTTTAGTTATGACGTTTAACTTTGCCCAGTAAACTACAGATTCGCTGAATCGATCAAATCATTCTTTTTTAAGTTTTCCTTGTGTTAAATTAACACAAAAATTGGAAGGGATAAATTGAAATACGTAGAGTGTGTTAAATGTAACACAAAATTTTTTCTACAGTGTACCGGTTAAATTTTCCTTTCGTCTAGTATGAGCGAACATCGCGCGTAGCGATGGGCAATTTCAAGTATCGCGCAGTTCGTTCGAAAATAATTCGCGCAAGAGAACTTCACTGGGGAAGCGTAATTACGTTGAACCGCTTTTCGACTTCCTTCCGTCGTCTTCTGTCTTCTTTCTTTCCCTCTCATTGCTATCGCTTTCGTTCTGCGGCAGCAATTTCATCGATACGTAGAAAAAGCGTTTTGTTATATGGGGTCGCGTCGAAGTCGTCGCACGGGGGAAACAAAGTTTCCGATTCCACCGGCAGCTAATTACGGCGAAATCATATTCCATTTGTACTTTTCGAACTTGGCCTGAGATAGCGGATCCGAAGTGAAGGATCAATGGCCGAGAGCCGAGAGTTACCATCGCAAAGGCGCCCGCTAATTATCGTTATAATTAACGATTCTACTGTTGGACCGCGATATCTTCGGGGCATTTCTATCGAACGTTTTCGCTCGCGCCAAGTTTACTTCGCCTCTTGCAAAGTTAACGTATAAATGTAAGTTTCCCAAAGTAAAACGTCCATATCTCCTCCACCGCTACTCGCGTCTTATTCGCCGTCTCTCGCTCCCTCTCTCCCCCCACTTTTTTTTCGTTGTCTACCGCGGAAGGGTAAAATTTCGAAATGCGATTCCACGCGAATGTATCGTAAACGCAAAATATCATTTTATACGTCGATAATCATCTTATTATTATTGCACGAAATTATATTACATGTATAATGATCGTAATGATATTCATCATCATCGTTATCGTTATTATCGTCGTGTTGTAATGTAATATTATACTCGTTATCATCAGCTAATGTTAATAAAACTGTGCGATGGCAAAATGACTTTTATATGCTAGATCAAACCGCATCTATTTATGGCAGACTCTCTGCTTATCACTTCTCATTGCAAAGCAAATTTTAAAAATACTTTAAATGTATAAGTGAAATATATTACATCGAAACGTTAGCCGCGCTGTTTGCAGTTGGAGATCTATAAAATTAAAGGATAAAATTTATCTGTAAGTACCCTTATTAGTCTGCAAAAAAGTTACTGGAAATACGTTAATATTTCTATTTTCCGCATAAAAATATGTGGTACGCATATATGATATGAAATTGAATAACAACATATTTTTTTTTATATCACATTTTTATAATGTATTTATTTTATATTTTTTCTAACTTTTAAACTTTTATTTCTGAATCATGATGAAACCTTACATATATAATTTTGAATATGTAAAGTACACGTATACTAAAATTGAGATTTTTGTTATTATTTTTTAATTATCTCTTTACCTTTACTAAAGATAGCAACATCAGATGTTTTCATGAGAGAACGGTTTAAGATACTCCCAAATAGCGGAATTACGTTAAATGACGTATCATATTTGCTAGGTTTATATTTAAAAACAAAATAACTTTTAGTTTAGATTCTGAATTAATATAAAATTGATTGTTGTCAGACACAATATAAATTAATACGCAATTTTTTCAAAATTCTTTATTATTTGATATGAACAATACATACTTCAGCTATATTTTTATAAATAGGAAAGTATAATTAAACATGATAAATAGAGAAGAGGTATAAGGTAGCGTAAAGATTAGGTGCAAATTAAGAAGATTAGAAAAGAAGATTGAAAGAGCATTTAGGTAATGAGGATAATATTGTAAAAACAAATAGAGGGAGATAATATAACTAGAGATATAAACAACTAAAAACAGAAATAAAGAATGGATGGGTGTGGCTAAGAAAAATAATTGTAAATCAAGTTCCCTTCTTGGTTATTTTGTAAGCTGAAGGAAAAATATGCTACTTCAGATATACATATATAAACAAATTCAGATTTCTGTTATTATTCTTTAATTATCTTTTCTAAAAACAGCAACATTCCAAGCAGACAGAATAACGTTGAATGACGTATTAATGTTATTAGAGACGTCACTAATGCGTCATTAAAACGTGATTTGACGTCATGTTTGTTGGATTTGCACTTCAGAGTGAAATAAATTTTATTCTAGGCTTTGTATCACACACACACACACACACACACACACACACACACACACACACACACACACACACACACACACACACACACACACTCTCTCTCTCTCTCTCTCT